CTTGTGATGTCTTTATATCCTCTTCACAACCTTACTTCCCTACTCATCTTTGTGTCATCAATAAATCTAGCAACTATACCTTCTAACCTTCATCGAAATCATTTATTTAATTTATAAACAGTTGAGGTGCCAGTACCAATCTTTTATACCTATACTCTGCTCCCTGTTATCCAAACAATTTTCTCTCCAGGCCCCTGCACCATGAGTTTTCACAATAACTTTTGACATTGGCACCTTATCAAATGCCTTCTGGGGGCAGGTGAACAGGTGGAGGCAAAGCCCAAGATCACCCATGGCCAGATAGAATGGTGGAGCACGCTTGATGGCTGAACGGTCGACACCTGCTCCTCTTTCTGCTGTTTTCGTCACAGGTTCGATTCCACGGATGGCAGTCGTAGGGGCTGGTAGGTTAGTTAGTATCCCCTGTGGTGCCGACAGAAACCCCATAGCACCCGGGGTGTCTGCTCTCTGTTCAGGGTGCTATCCTGCCTGTTGGTTCAATCAGGTCATTCTTCCTCACTGGTAAAGGTACTGCATTCATGTAGCCCCTTTGATGACCGTAGGATCATAACAAAGTGCTTAGCACCCAAACATAGTCGCAGTGATGATATTGGAAGGGCGGTAGCTAATCTGCTGACAGTAAGCTCTCACAGTGTAATAATGACCGGATCTTGTTTTGGATGTTGTTTGGGAGATGAACTCTGAACAAGACAGGGGAACGATCTCACAGCTCTTTATCTTTTGCATCCACCTGAGACAGCAGACAGGGTGTCGGTTTAAAGACAGCATCACTGACAAGTCTGTCAGGATTGTACAACCTAGAGTTTAGTGCCAGAGTCTAAGGCAGCCCACAATTCTTTGAGTCAGACATGGCACTGTTACCCACAGAACCACAGCTGACACAGATGTTTATGTTTCTCGTTGATGTTTACATTTGCCAGCCTACAACAAACCCGCCTTGCTTCGGGCATGTTTCCATAGTGAAAGACATTCTTCCACGGACAGGTCATCAGACTAGAAGCTCTTCCAGAAAGGGTGCTCTACAGCCATTAGCCTTACTCCTATCTGATTTCACCTTCGTGACACCTGGGCATTGCTACCAGGACCAGCATTTTTTGCCCATCCCTCATTACCCCTGAACTGAGTTGGTTCCTGGACCATTTCAGCAGCTAGTTAAGAGTTGTTCACATTGCTGTGGGTCTGGAGTCACATGTAGGCCAGGCCAGGTGAGGACAGCAGATTTCCTTCGCTAAAGGACAACTGATGACAACTTTCTGGTCACTATTACTAAGCCTAGTTTATAATTCCAGTTTTTATTAAATAAATTTAAGTTCCACCAGCTGCCATGGCGGGATTTAAACCCACATGGCCAAAGC